CCCATCGATTCGGATTCCTTAAATTTTGCGTTTCGGAAGGGTGCAAGTAGCTTCATGTCGCCTTACCAAAAAGGAGCACATCCATTTTGCAGGACCCTTATTTTGACACGTGCCCATGTCAAGGGTTTGTTGGCTTTGTGCAATGTTTCGGAAGTATTTTGACTGGTTCCCTTTCGATCGCACCGATCACAAGGTTGGGGAGTCTGGGTGAACATGTCCATACTTTGTTGTGAGTCTTCCGAAGTGCCCTATGCAGGTGGTCGCTCAAACATGATCTTATCTATCTGGTCGCAGGTGTCACGTGCTAATGTTCAGGCAGGGGCGCCTTGCAGGAGCGTGCTGCTCTTTGCATCCAGCGAGCTGTCCGGTTAAAGCAAGCGCCCGGCCCTTACACGGGAAACGAGGACGAAACCATCCATTTTTCGTCCGCTGTTCTGGGGGACTCTTGAGCTGAGGCAGCAGAGAGAGCGAGCTGCCGCTGCATCGTGCTTGCAAAGATGGTGGCGCACCTTGAGGAGTGTGTGTGTGTGTGTGTTTCTGTATTTGTGTGTTTGTGGTTTGCATGCTTGTGTGCTTGTGTGGTTGTGTTTGTTAGTTACAGATTTTTTGCTGTAAGTTTGTTGGAAGTTTAGATTGGTTTGGTTACGTTTGGTTACGTTTGGTTTGTTTGGTTTGTCTGTTTGTTTGTTTGTTTGTTTGTTTGTTTGCTTGTTTGCTTGCTTGTTTGTTTGCTTGCTTGCTTGCTTGCTTGCTTGCTTGCCTGATTGTTTGTTTGCTTTCTTGTTTGTTCCTTTCTTTGTTTGTTTGTTTGTTTGTTTGTTTGTTTGTTTGTTTGTTTGTTGTTTTGTAAGTTTGTCGTAATTTTGGATTGGTGTGGTCACGCGTGTTTTTTTTTTTGTTTGCTTGTTTGTTTGCTTGTTTTAAAGGGAAGTCAAAAAGGACACCACCAATTTTTGAGGAGCTCTATTTTGACACCCATGTGAGTCTGGTGGCAAACACCCGTGTTGAATGCAGGAAGAGTGGCGCCAAGAAGCCAAAGAGGAGAAGAGGCAAAGGGCAGAAGAAAGGACACGCCGCCGACTTCCAAGTTACGTGCGCTGAGGTTTTCTTGAGGGTTCTCCAGATGAATGAGCATACCCAGCTGGTTCTTGCAATGGGACGAGAAACAACAGGGCTAGAGACTGCAGGAGCTTCAAAGCCTGCCGAGGAGTTTCTTGGACGGCAGGTTAAATCGGAGCCTTGCTCGAACGGATGTTCCTCTCCAACTCATGATCTTGTCTTGGGATCCCTCATTTCCATTTGGTGAGTTGTGTGTTATAGCTGGCATCGCGAGCTGAGCCTTCGGCCAGGTTGCCGGAAATGCCTGCGCATCCTCCTGCGACAGAGTGCGGCCACGCGAAGCTCAACATGCAGCATGTGCCTCAGAGCTCCCGAGCTGCCTGCGAGCCTCGCCATGGCCATGCTGCCAGGCATCAGCAGTATGCCAGAATCGAGGAAAAGGTCCGAGCCCCGGATTTGCAGACGCAGTTGTCAAGTCAGAACACGTTTCCTGACATTTGTTGCTCCGCCTGTGGGTTTGTCTTTGAGTCTTCCCTCAACCCCAGATGTGAGATTTACCCTTGTTTTCCACCACCAACCGGCTTCTTTTGGAAATTGGGTGGTCCATCCTCCTTCCTCATCCCTTCCTTTCTTCACCCAACATCAGAACGTAACCGACGTGAACGACTTTAGTCTGTAAAAGAAGGTTGGATGGGTGTGAGGGAAGGATGTCTCTCTCTCTCTCTCTCTCTCTCTCTCTGTCTCTCTCTGCCTCTCTCTCTCTCTCTACACTCTCCATCACTTCAGTTTGGATGAAACTCATTCCTTCCTACATCTCTCTCACCTCACATCCGCTCGCTTAGTTCATTCACCCTTATCTCTTGGATTCTGGCGCCGTCTCACACACACACTCTTTTCTTGGCAACAGCTGGTGAGTTGGGTGTGTGAGTGAGAGGCAATCCATTCCTCCACCTATCACTCCCGCGTGAAAGCCCGACAAAGGAAACGCGGTACATGGAAAGGAGATGGTGGGTAAGGAATAACCATTCTTTTCATACCCTCAATCCACTTTTCCGTCTTATTTGTAGCTGAGATTATGGGCGTGTTGTGGTGTTTTTCGTTTGGTTGCCTCTGGTTCGAGTGTTTGCAAACCGCTGCCACTGGTTCAATCCCTAGGGACCCCTTTTGTCATAGGCTTACTTTAGCATATAGAGGAAAAAGGGCGGACAGCTGCCCTCGCGCATGGTTTTGTGCCAACATTGGTAGCGAGAGCTGGAGATCGTGAAGGGGATCTTCAGGGTGGGCTACATCGTGCAGCCCAGAGACATGGTAAAGGATGACGAGGTGAAGACAACATGGGACGGCGAGCCCGCCGGATGGCATGAATACGTCCGCATAGTCAAGCTGGAGTTCGAGAAGACGCCGAAGAGGCGAAGACATCTGCTGGGGGCGAGGTTGACGGGCAATCCTCAACGAGGTCAACCACCAGAGCTCACAACGTCACAGGGGCCGGTCTACCTCTTGCGATTCTTAGAGTCGCGCCTGTGTAAGACTCCTGTCCCTGAAGCAGGACAGAAGCTTGAGGAGCTCTTCATCAAGCTCCGGAGGCCGTACAGCATGGGGATGTCGCAGTGGGCCACGGAGGTGCGGGAGAGCTACAAGAGGTTGCAGCGATCTTCACCCACTCATGGCCGAGGGCAAGTGCATGGTGAGGAGGCGCGTGATGGAGAGGCAACGGCGGCGGAGAACCCAGATGCTGAGGAGACGTATGAAGGAGAAGACTGGACGTGGTGGCATCGTGGAGGATGGCACGGACGTCAGGACTGGAGAAGCCGCAGTGAGTGGGACTCAGAGGAGGACTATGAAGAGCACGAGACGGTGAAGCGGGAGGAGTTCGATCTCGGCGATGCGGACATCCTTCCGGAAGAAGTCCTAGGGTGGCTGCTGCTGAGGAGAGGGGGGCTACCTGCGAGCTCACGCCTTGCGGTTCAGAGTGCGACGGGCAACAGCCTCAAGTTCAGCGAGATCGAGAGAGCTCTTCGTGATCAGGAAGAGGAGTTGATGCAAGCTGAGTCATCACGCCAAGGTGGTCAGTTTCAACGGAGATTGAGATCTTACTGGGTTGAGGAGAACGGCGAGTGGGGCCTGCTGCCCAACGCGGACGACGATGAGAACACGCAGATCACGCGGGTTGGTATGTACCAGGTGGACCACAGCAAGGACTACCAGGAAGAGACCGCGTGGGTGACCTACCTGGGAGATGGACAAGCTCTACAGTGGGAGTGGTACCATGACGACTGGTGTGCGGCAGATGGAGATGGAATCTGGTGGACGTGGAGTGAAACCAAGCCGTGGATGGACATCGAGCAGGCGATGATGGTGGACCCCGAGCGTGCGAAGGAGCTGGAAGAGATCTACGTCAACTTCCAAGGACGCTTGAAGACGTTTCAGGAGTCGAGGCAGCTGACGAACGCCTCGAAGATGTCACGCGCTTACTACCCCCTGAACTACGTCAAGGGCAAGAGCAAAGGAAAGAAAGGCAAGAGCTCTGGCAAGGGCAAGAAAGGACCTGCTGGAGGACAAGTCTTTGCCAACCATGAGAGTGGCAAGGGCGGCAAGAACCGGGTTGGTGGAGCAGACTATACTGGGTGCTTCATCTGTGGAGACAAGAACCGCGAGTTCCGGACGTGCCCACGACGAGGAGCTGCCGGAGGCAAAGGACAATCTGGTAAGCTTTTGTGATGGGCATGTTCATGGTCGAGGAGGACCCGGAGTTCATGGTGGAGACAACGACCCCGGATGCTGAGATTTTCTCAGTCATGGCCCAACGCCATCCAGGTCATGCGGTACTGGATTTGGGTGCAATGGAGACGGTGGCAAGCCTGGAAGCGTTGAGGAGCTCATGCAAGTCGTTTGGCCTGGCGGTGTACTCCCTGGATGTGAAGGCCGTACCGATCCTTCTGAGCGTGAGAACCTTGAGCCATTTTGGACTTCGAGCGCAAGGAGCTGAGGCTGCGAGCAATTGGCTGGAATTTTGCCATACCCCTGACGGAATTAGAGTCAGGGCATTTGCTTGGCAGACTGGCTGGAAGTCACGCCAGGACAGGTGTCACGGGCTTCCGGATCTTCGGGTGCTGGAGCGTACATGGCGCTAGAGAGTGAGTGGATGAGTGAAGGGCTTGAGCATGGAGGTGATCCAGTGTGTGAGAGCCTTGTGGCCCAAGCGCACAGCCAACGGGATGAAAACCTGCAGCAAATTCAAACCGCGCCATGTCCCAGGCACAGAAGACAGCCAAGAACTCGGAGAACAAGCCAGAGGACGTGACGACCTGGGAGGAGAAGAGCAGCAGTAGGTGGCCAGAAGAAAGGCAAGTCAGGAACCCGGAAGACGAGAGTGGCAACGCCGGAGAAGTACGACCTGACCCGCCAGGTAGGACCGGATCCTCGCGACCCGAGATGTCAGGGAGCTCCATGTCATGGACACCACAAGGTGATGCCAGAAGGAAGGGGCTCACTGTCGGGCCGCAATGGTCATGGTCTATGCAAGGTCTGCAGCGAGTGTCGACTTCGGCTGACCTATGTGCCGCCTTATAAAGAGCGACAGGCATTCACCGTCAAGCGGGACCTCTTCCAAAGGACACGTCGGTGGTGCTGGAGGAGGAGATGCCAAACATCAATCTGACGGAGACGAAAGAGAAGCTCAACAACAAGGCGGTGGGGCTTCGAGGAGCCGAGAAGTCGCTGGAGGATCGTCCGGAGGCGGTGCGGCTGCAGAAGGCCCAGATGAAACCAAAGGCAAGGCCGGAGCAAGGATATGTCAGGAAGGAGACGGTGACCGTGGACACCAAGAAGGCCACGAAGCGGGGGAATGTGAACACTGCCGAAGAGTTCGAGACAGTGGAGATTCAGGACGACTTCGTGGAGGTCGAGAAGCAGACATAGAGATTGACGATGACGGGTACATGTTCCAGGAGGAGGTTCTTGGAGAAAAGGACCTGGAGATGCTCATTGGCGCTGCGGAGAACTATGTTGAAGACCTTGAGGAGATCTATCATCTCATGCCCCAGGAGAACCAGAACCGCGTCGATCTGATGGAGGTGTGCGGTCCGGCAGAGAGCGCTCTGTCGGGAACATTTGAGAAGAAGGGGGCGAAGATCTTCCGAGTGGGTTTGCCGGACTACGACATGAGCACCAGGGTGGGCTTCCAGAAAGTGCGAGAAGAGAGATGGAGGCTTAAGCCCCGAATGATGCGGATGTCGTTGCCCTGCGGGCCGTACTCACCAATTCAGCAGGTCTTCAACGAAAAGTCAGAGGAACAGTGGTTCAAGAGCATGATGCAGAAGAAGAAGAGCAGAAGGATGATCCGGCATGGTCTACAGCTGGTACGAGACCAAGTACTTGATGGCGGAGACTATGCTTGGGAATGGCCAAGAGTGAATGGCGGCTGGTGTTTGCCAGAGGCGCGAGGCTTCTTCGAGGAGATGGAGGCGCAAGGAAAACTCTATGTGGCAAAGCTGGACGGCTGCACCGTGGGAGTGAAGTCCGAAACGGGCAGGCCGATGAAGAAGCCGTGGACGATAAAGACAAGCCTCATTGGTCTGGCAAACGCTCTACGACGACGATGTCCGGGAGATCATGACGAACGCTTGGGTGGAGGACGCGCGGAGAAGAGCGGTTACTACCCGAGGCAGATGTGTGACTTGATCTATTGAGAAGTCATGCTTCATGGACCGAGGCACTCAGAGTTTGAGACGTATCCTGTTCTGGAGGCAAAGGAGCAGGTGGCGAGCACGGAGATGACAAAAGACGAGCGGAAGAAGGCGGCGGTGCTACTGGATCGACTACATCGACGTACGGGACATCCGTCAAACAGGGCTTTGGCGGCATGCCTCAAGCACCGCGGAGTGAAACCAGAAGTGGTGAAGCTGGCGCTTCATCATCAGTGCTCGGACTGTCAGGAGATGCGGCTAGCTGATGCCACTCCAGCGGTTTCGCTTCAGAGGAGCAATACCTTGTGGCAATGCATGCTGATGGACGGCGCTGACGTGAAGTATGGAGACCAGGTGGTGCACATTCAACCGCAGAAGAAGTTGTTCGGGCGGTGGAGCAGCACTGGGTGCAGCACTACGGCATTCCCGGTGTGATCAGGCTGAAGGAGCGTTCAGGAGCAATCTCTTCGGTGACTGGTGCCAGGACCGAGGTGGAGCTGATGCCTTGCGCTGCGGAAGCTCGCGGTCAGATCGGAGAGGTGGAGTCGCTCATCCGGAAGGTCAAGCAGCAGGACGCGCGGGTCATGCTGAACAGCCAGAGCTGTGAAGATCCAACTTCAGCGGTGGTGGCGGTGACTGCAGCTCACAACCAGCTGGATCGGGCGCAAGGTTTCTCGCCGGGTGCTGGGAAGGCAGTTCACTCTGGCGGGGAGGTTTTTTGAAGATGGTCATGATGAAGCCCTACATGGAGCTCAAGGGACACCTGGACATGCAATGCAGAAGAATCTGAAGGTGAGGCTTTCGGCGGAGACGGTCTACGCAAAGAGCCAAAGCAAGGAAAAGATCACGAGGGCGCTCTACATGAGATCGCGACCGCAAGCACGCTATCTACCTGGTGACCTTGTCTACTGCAAGAGAGTGAAACCCCCAGCAGACCAACCTGCAAATCCGATGGTGGGTCAGAAGACGTGGAGGTGGTTTGGGCCTGGTCGGGTCTTGGCCAGAGACGAGGACAGATGCTGGTGGTTTGGAGGGAGACCGCGCAATGTGGTGTGGGTGGTCACTGGAGGAAGGCTGAAGCGGTGTGCCCCTTTGCAGCTGAGGCATGCGTCGGAGCGTGAACGTCTCATTGCCGAGCAGGTAGATTCGCCAGTGGCGTCTTGGACTTTTCACTCACTTCTTCAGGGAGTCCAAGGCGGGCAGTACGAGCGCTTTGACAACCTGATGTTCCCAGAGGACATGGAGAGAAAGCGGCTGGCGAGAAGAGGAACCTCAAGGGCACGATCAAGGACGGCGGGTAGAAGGTCCAGGTCGGTGCCAGTAGGAGGAGATGTGAGTAGTGGTGAAGAAATGATGGAGAGCCGATCAAGAGGGCGTGTAAGACCCGAGCGGGGAACGGCCACCCAAGGAAGCCAGGGTTTCCAAACAAGAAAAGAAAGAAGAGACCTATGAGTCCACCCAAGAGAGCCAAAAGCTCCAAACAGGCAGGCCAGGCAGTAGCACGGTAGCGCATGATCGCTCCCAGTTTTCAGTAGAGGAAGTGATAGATTCTGGAGCCATGGCGCGCGGGCATAACCCCCTGCAGCTGGGGAGACCGGGGAGCTCTTCGAGCATGATCTGTTCCGGATGCAACGCCAGTTTATGGAGGAGGATGAGCAGATCGTTATGGATTTGCCGATGCCAAAATCCAAGAAGGAATGGAAGCTTGTGGAGCGATGCCCGGAAGCGTATTACGTGAAGAAGATCCGCAACACCGAGGTGAACGTGAGGAAGTTGAACTCGGAGCAGCTGGCAGAGTTCGACAAGGCCAAGCATGTGGAAGTGCAGTCATGGGTGCGAAATGCAGCAGTTCGGAGAGCTGGCAACATGGTGACGACCGAGCGGTGCATCAACATGAGGTGGGTGCTCTGCTACAAGGAGAGCGGCGCACCAAAGGCACGGATCGTCCTGATCGGGTGTCAGGATAGATGTTGAAGGTCTGGCGACGGCGAGTCCAACCATGAGTCGCCGGACACGCCAAGCAGTTCTGCAGTACAAGTGCTGTAGAAAGTGGCGAGCCTTGAAAGGGGATGTGCGTGCGGCTTTTCTGCAAGGCGCATCTTCGGAGGAGGACAGGAAGCTGTTCGCTAAGCCTGTGCCGGAGTTGGCATGCGAGATGGGTTTGAAGGAAGGCGAGTGCGTGCAGATCCTCAAGAGCTGCTACGGTTTGATCACGGCGCCGGCATCCTGGTTTCGAGATGTCACCAACACGTTGCGGAAGGCCGGGATGGAGCCTTGATCACGGACCCTTGCTGCTGGAGGTTCAGAGTCAAGGACGAGATATCGGGCGAGATGGTGACGCAAGGTTTGGTGTGTGCCCACGTGGATGACTTCATCGTGGTGGGCAACGAAGGTTGCGAGGAATGGGTGGACGCGCTGACCCAGTTCTACCACAGGTATGACTGGAGTGACTGGGAATTCGGATCATTCAGCCATTGTGGAGTGATCCTGAAGGAGAACAAGGACTTGTCGGCCACCCTGGACCATGCGAGCTTTGTGGACAATCTGGAGCCGGTGGAGTTCCAGAACCGCGACGAGAAGGAGCAGGTGACGGAATTCGAGCGCCCAGATCAGAGGTTTACTTGGCGCACTTCAGTGGCGGTGCTATAACACTGCGCCACAACATGCTGCGAAGTTGTCACTTCTGCAGTCAGAGATCAGCGTTGCGACGGTGGCGACCATCAAGAAGTTGAACAAGTTGCTTCTGGAGTGCCAAGCTCAAAGGCACATCTCGATCAAGGTGAATGTGTTGCATTGTGAGCCGGAGGAGGTGAACTTCGTGGGCTGGTGTGATGCGGCGCTGGGCAACAGGGAGGGGAACAACAGCACTGAAGGCTATGTCATTGCAGCCACGAGCCCAAGAATGAGCCGGCGCCGCTGTCGATCATGGCTTGGAGAGCGGGGCGCTTGCCACGGGTAGCTTGGTCATCTCTTGGAGCAGAACTTCAGGCGATGTCGGAGTGCGAAGAGGAGCTCATGTTTGTGAGGTTTCAGTGGGCAGAGATGTGTGGGCATGAAGCCCAACCAGGCCAGGTGCGGGAGCTGGTGCTTTGGTGACGGATGCCAAGGCCCTCTACGACGTGATCAAGAAGGGCGCGATGAATTTGGCCGGGGCTGGACTCAAGGAGAAGTACAGCACCATGAGTTTCTGAGCCTCATTCAGAGGCTGAGTGATGGCGGAACTGAGATCCGCTGGGTTCACGCGCAGACGCCTTGACAAAGGGGCTGACGCATGGCGGGGCGCTTCAAAAGGTCCTGGTAGAGGGGAAGTGCAATCGTCCATGACCCGCTGTTTACGGCCGCTAAGAAGCGAGCCATGAACCAATGGCTTTGGTTTGGAGTTTCGGGGTGTTGTGGTGTTTTTCGTTTGGTTGCCTCTGGTTCGAGTGTTTGCAAACCGCTGCCACTGGTTCAATCCCTAGGGACCCCTTTTGTCATAGGCTTACTTTAGCATATAGAGGAAAAAGGGCGGACAGCTGCCCTCGCGCATGGTTTTGTGCCAACAGCGTGGTGCTTTTCTCCCTCTCATATGGAAGGGGTGTGAATGGAGGAAAGCATACCGTTCACTTGATTTAGCAAAGCAACTTTATTATCAGACGGTAGTCGAAACGACACGCCTGCGCTGGCTCCTGGAAAAACCATGAGCCTGTACGGCTCGCTTCAAGTTAGCAAGAAGCGCTCGTTTTTTGGTCCCCGTTTTGACACCCTTTTACCAAGCGGCTCCCCAATTCCGATTGCCCCCGAGGACAAGCGCGCGGTCCTGGACTTCTTCCTGGACCAGTTGATGCCGAGATCTCGGCATCAAAGCGGAACTGGACCCCGTGCAACGTTTGAGGTTAAAAAGGAGTGCCATTGATAGCAGTTGACTAAAGGAAGGGAACCTCGAAACCGAGCAATTTGAGCGGTACCTAGTACGGGTGTGTCTTTTTGTAGGGGACCCCCCAAAATGGTGGTTCTCCGTTTGTTTTCTCTTTAACACCACAACAAAGGGGTACCCAAAAAAGACACCCATACACATGTGCAGGTGAGCATCATTGGTTCTTGTCAAGGCCAGAACCAATGCTAAGACGTGGCAAACTACTGCCTACCATCTCGATTACAGCCTTGATGGCAATACCGCTGTTAAGCGGTTGGCTTGAATGGCAGCTCCGTTGTTGACTGTTTGCTTGACTTCCTTGAGGTATGACACTGCCAACTTCCGGATACTGATCGTGACCAGCTCGGACGAGCATCTTGGTGGAATTTATATGTGTGTTTGTACCAGAGCACACCATGCCAGTTTGCCCTTTTGGGCCTTTTTGGCAGGCTCAGCAACACGCACACTTTTCCCTAAATCGCGAGAGCACCTCCGGATCAGTCGTTTTTCATTCAACAGAATTGGCACGTTGGTGTGGTGTGCTGCGCAGCCCAAACATGGCAAAGCTGCCATTTGTTCGAAGTATAGATGTATGTACACGATATGTAAGATTGTGTGTATGTTTATGTGTTTGCCTTGTGTTTGTGTGTGTGTGTGTGGGTGTGCATGTGCACATGTGTGCATGTGTGCATGTGTGCATGTGTGCATGTGTGCATGTGTGCATGTGTGCATGTGTGTATTTGTGTATGTGTGTATGTGTGTATGTGTGTATGTTTGTATGTGTGTATGTGTGTATGTGTGTAGTGATGTGTGTATGTGTGTGTAGCATTCAAGCATGCCTTTTCCTATGATTTCATGATTTGAGGAGTCGCGCTCACCGAAAAATGCTTTGGCAGCCACTCCTCAGCCAGGGAGTTGTTTGCCCGTTTCTCGTCTCCCTGGATCGGAAGGGTGGGCGCCCGATAAGGCCAATCCGTGGGAAACTGAAACGAGAGCAGTTGTGCCAAAACATCTTGAACCAATTCCATGTTGAAAGTGACGACGTTGCGAAGGATCAGTCTACGAAATCAACAGAACACTGACAGTTCCTGTGAATGCCCAGGTAAGGCCATCTAGCCACTGCACACTAACAAACTTCAGTGTGTCTTTCTCAAGGGACGTCAGTAGCGATGACGCTGGTGTGTCCTCTTGGACTCTCGCGGACCGGCGCGTGGGAACAAGGTCGCAGTGTGGTGAAGCGACCAAGAGCCAGTTGGCGCCCTGAAAGCAGGGTTGCTGTAGTCAACGTCCTTTACGGGGACGCTGTTCCGAAGATGGTAAGTAGTAGGGTGGAGAACGCCCACAGAAGTGGCGTTGCCACAGGTTGAACCCAGGTGTGAGATCAGGCTGCTACCGCAGTAAAGATACCTTTGGCTCGAACCTGAATACTGTCACCAAAAAAGCCTGCCAGACTCCCATCGCTCCCTTTTCAATTCGTGGGCTAGCCAGCCTGTGACGCTGTGTGTGTGTGTGCGCGCGACTCTGTGTGTGTTGTGCGTGTTGGTCTTAGAGTGGTTTGTTTGCGTGTGAGTGTGTGCTGATGTGCGTGTGTGTGTGTGCGCGCGAGCGCTTTTATTTGCTTTGCATTTGTGTGGAGGGTTTTGCCCGACAGCTGCACGTGCGTGAGTGCCCACTTTTCTTCTTCGCGCGCGCTCATACGCGTGGACTCCCATGTGAGCGGTGCGCCGTGCGTCCCAGACCTGCTATTTTCTTTTTTCCGCTTGACCAAAGCCAACGTCCCACGCTGATTTTGGATTCAAGCCAGGCGGTTGAGTTTCCACTTCGCAT